GACTTAATCACGTACTTGGCGTCAGCTAAGAGAGACGGTCGACTGACGTGCCACTTGTACTGAGCAAACAATAGAATGTCTGCACACGAGCTGTTCATCTTATAAGATTTTCGAGGGTGAATCGTTTCCTTCTGCACAGTTTCGATTTCGAGCGCATCCAATTCTTGATCAAAAACCTGGCACAAATCCATGACGATTGATTCATGGATTTTCTGCCATAAATGAGCCCGAAAAATCTGGATTAAACTGATCTTCAGCGTGGGAATCTTCCCATGCATAAAAATCCCAGTCAAGTCTAACTGAACTTGGAAACCGACGTATACCTAAATGTTTGTAATAAATGGCTGAAAGACGAAATGAATCACACTCAAGCATTTTATAATTACAGCGAGTTCGTTAGTTACAACAGTTAGTTCGCGCCTTATGAGCGATTCTTCCTCTGACTCTACAAAGAGTCTTTCTGAGAACTAGCATAAAGATCAATTTTGTTAAAAACTACTCCACCCCAGAATCTACCCTTGACAAACCCTGTGATGAGGTGGGCAGTACGCGGGTAATACTATGCATGGAAGAGGATCATATCAACACTGGCGAAGTTCGTATTCAGTTTTCTCCTACTTCTGAGGGTGCAACTCATTCGTCAAGTTACGTTCATACGCCGACATTCCTTTTGGGTTGTTTGGGAGGGAGCTTAAAGCTTCACAGAAAACTGAAAGTTGGTTTTTTGCGGCCAGATTCTGCAGCGTTCACTTCTTTGTTTGACACAACAGTGGTGTAAAAGCGCATCGAAATAGAGCTGGTGATGACTAGAAACAATACACAGCATTTAAGACCAATGCAGCTAGACCAAGAGAATATTTGCAAGGATTTTCAGCATCCTGCTGACTTCAATGAGTTTTCGAAATAGCTGGTCTACACATTTTCATTTGTCTGTTGGTCGACCAACGTGAGAGCATTTAATTAAATTCTGCACATTTTTAGATGCCAAAAAACATTCACGCTTAGCTATCTAAGATCGCTGAAAGCAAGAATTCTGGAATAGGAACCAGTGACTCTAAGCGTCAATACCACGCATCAGGGGAAAACAAGTCTACTGCCTACCAAATAACTCATTTTCGGCATTTCACGGTTAAAACAAATTTAGAACAGGTTTAAAAATATCAAACACCGTTAGCTTACGTTAGCCCTGTTGATCGTCGGCGACCACCACAAAGTGAAGCGCCTGTTCGGAATTTGATTTAAACCGGATCGTTGGGCATTAGTCAACTTTTTGAACTTCATTGACTCTTCGAAACCGGATGCTTTTTCCCAGAAGAGTCCTTCCCAAGTGGGGAAGTAGGTTCCTTTGAACAATGTGTGTTCCAAAATGCCTTCCACCCCACCCAACGCCTGAATCATGTCAGTTCGATAATTGTTTAGATTCCAAAGCTTGCCGTCGTGACGCTGATGGGTCCACCAAAACGGGTTCTGCTTCAATATCTATAAAAATTGCATAATAAGGCATAAGACACCTTTGATATTACAATCAGAGATAAAATTTGTGTAGGTGCCACAGACTTTCCTTATATCATTGGCCGATATGTATAACACGAAATAGTTTGCAGCACTGATAATATTGCACCGACATGACAATCGACAGAAAACCATGCCAATCTCTTTGCAGTGCGAAAAGGTCGACTATGATAAATGACTTAAGGTCACCTACCTGGTACTGTTTAAATTCGGTTCGTACGCGCCAGCCTTTGTCGTAGGCCAGAGTATGTCGATCCTTCTGAAATAAAGTGTTGATACGCGGTATTCCGCGATCCCAACTGTCTTCCAAGTCTTCGAGAGTCAACCTTCTGTTCTGTGCATTCGCTTCCTGTCTTTTTAGTGCGTACTCGGCCCACACTCGTTGAGAGTCGATAAATTCAGCCTCCCATGGCTGAATATAACGATAAAGATTCGGGATCAATTGATCCTCCTCATGAGACATTCCGGAACGAAAATGGGTAATGCCCCCGGCATCGGTCTGCTTGCACCATCTTAAGTCCGACTGTGGAATCAACACGTGGCCCATTGAGAGCATGCCAAGGCCGCCAAGTTCCTTAGGCGTATAAAAAACGACCGGAGGGAAGCGAGCGGGCATTTTGCTGTTCAGGCCTATCTTGATTCGAGTCTGGATTTTATTTTCGCATTTCACCAAAAGATCCAGCAACTCCTGGGTGTTAACCACGGCTTCTCGAAAGTAGGTCATCAGCCCAATAAGCGCTGTATTCCATTTATTGACAATCTAAAAGCGAAAAAATCAAGCCAACAAAAAAACATGCATCTAGTATTTAAAAAACTATTACTTTGACGTTACCTTCTCTCCAGCAAACCTTTAATATGACTGCAACAATAACAATTATAAACAAAAGTCAGTTTAAAAAAATCTAAATCCGTCTTGTATGCAGAAGTGACCAAAAAACTAATGGCATTGTTTATATAAATAATAATTTGAATACAACGAATGTGTCTTGATTTGGAAAAATTCCTCACTGAGTTTCGGATTAACAGCAGAGACGACGCGCTGGTATTTAATTCAATGAATAATTCAGTTTAGTTCCTGTGAAAGACGCCCCCTGCCTGTTGCAGGGATAAAATTACCATTACGTTAAACGAGTTTACGGTTATGGCATATATTCACCCGCTGCTTCACTGCCTTATATGTCAAGCAGCAAAGTAGATGTCAACGTAGTTCATAAGAATGATACGTTCCTACTAATTCAGAGCCCAAAACAATTTAAAGGACATAAGCCATTTTCCATCGGTCAACAAGTCAAAGATCAAAACCGAAACGATCTGCCTATGCGATGAGGATGCCACCACAGAAGTTCGCTTGGCAAAGGGATGGTAAGACGATATAGGGGCAGACCGCGAAATGGATGACACGATTATCCATAGGATGTGGCATTGTCGCACCTCGAAATCAAGACCACGGAGCTACCGTTCATGGCAGGCGAACTGCGACAACTGAAATGGCCTCT